GTTTGTTTTTGTTTTGTTTTTATCAGGACAAATTACACCTGTTGTACTTTCCAATACATTGTTTAACAAACTCGCCATAAGGAAATAGTGGGTTTTTGTTTGTTTGGTTGTTTGGTTGGTTTATTTGTTTTTGCAATCAGATTTGCTGTCACCTAACTAGTTTTTATAACAGAGTCTATTTGAGGTTTGATTTTTTTAAAGAAGACTTTGTTGAGCCGAGATGTTTTTCTGGTTCATGTTTCTAAATATAATATTTTCTTGAATTGTAATCTATGAAAACTTCCAGGCATAATATTAGGTGTGGAAGGCACAAATACAGGCTCCCTCTGGGAGGTATCCTTGAAGCAGCACAATTATATCAGGTAACATAAGTGTATTATTCCACTGCCAAATAGATAACAGTAAGAGATAAGAAAGAGAAAGCAGCAGGGTCTGAGTAGCCTTTGCATACCTCCCATGATGCATCTGGAACAAGTTCAATTTCTGGGATGTCATGGTGGAAAGGAAAACTCTTTGAAATAAAACAGATTTGAAAGCTAGATATTGGTCAATGGCAAAAGCTTGAAGTGGTTCCTGTATATCATAAGGGATGAGGGTCTGGAAAGCAGTCAGAACCCATGCCCTGAGAAGCACACTGTGAATGCAGGGAATAACAAGCATACGCAACAAGGCTGATCAGAGCGCTGCATCAATACCAGCACCACCAAAAAAGGGCGGAGAGTCTTAGTAATTGAGGAATTCTTGCTGGGAGGCACTGAGGCTCCTATTTCCAGGGGCGCATGTTAGAGATCATATGTAAAAGATACGGAGATAGAAGGCTGTACTGCAGCTCATTAAACTCGAAGACCACTATCCTTTTATTGTCATTCAGGCTGGGTCCCAGGATGCTGCAATGAGGAAACTAAAAAAGTGTATAAAAGGACTTTACATCACTTGGAAAGGTGTTGAAGGGAACAGGGGGGCAGGTAATGTTCTCCTCTGTCCTCCTGATGGTGAGCTGGGGCCCAGAAAGAAGGAGGAGAACAAGTCAGGTAAATGACTAGCTGAGGGAGTGGTGTCTTGATCAAGTCTTTGGGTATTTCTATGTTGGGGAGGACTTTGAGAAATTGGGTATGTGAGCTTCTGATGGACTTCGCCTGAGCAAGTGTGGCACAAGTGTTCTGGGGAGCAAGCTCCCTTAATTGATTATCAGGACTTTACACTAGGTTCAAAGTGGAAAGGAAAGGGAGTTAGATGTGACAGAGAAGGGCTGCACGATGCTGTCACTATTGTTACTGTTGGAGATTGCAGGGAATAACCTCTGAGTTTTCCCATAGGATTGTGCAAGGACTCCTCAGAGAAGGTCATGCTGCCAATATCCTTTCCAAAATCTTCTTATATCCCTCTAGGTGTAACAGCACCTGCTGCTTCCCTGAAGTGCCTGTATACCAATATGCATAGTATGGGAAATGAACAGGATGAGCTGTAAATCTGTGTACAGTTGCAGGGTCAGCTTGCATGACTGGAATGCTGTCATGGAGGGCTATGTCTTTTTTGGGAAAGACAGGCTGGGGAAGTGAAGTAGAGGAATTGCCCCTTATGTGAGAGAGCAACTAGAATGTATCAAGCTCCACCTGGGGGAGGGTGAAAAGTGTGGAGAGCTTGTGGGTGAGAATTAAGGGGCAGACTGGTATGGGTGACACCATTGTGAGGCCGTACTACAGGTCACCAGATCAGGAGGAGGAAGTTGATGAGGCCTTCTACAAGCAGCTGGAAGTAAGCTCACAATCCCAAGCACTGGTTCTCATGGGAGTCTTTAACTATCCAGACACTCATTTGGCAAGTAACATGGTCAGGCACATGCAGTCCAGACAGTTCCTGAAATGTCTTGAAGATACGAAATGTGTTGAAGATAATTTTCTGATGCAGGTTTTGGAGGCACCAACAAGGCAAGGAGTGCTTCTGGACCTTGTTCTTACTAACAGGGATGGGTCTGTTAGGGATGTAAAGGTTAGGGGCAGCTTGGGATACAGCAATCATGAGATGGTGGAGTCCAAGATCTTGAGTGGCAAAAAGGCAAAAAGTAGGATTGCTACTCTGGACTTTCGGAGAGCCAACTTTGACCTTTTCCAGGACCTACTTGCAGGTATCTCATGGGTGAGGGTGATGGAGCACTGGAACAGGCTGCCCAGAGATATTATGGAGTCTCCTTCTCTGCAGATATTCAAGACCCATCTGGATGCCTACCTATACAGGCTGCTTTGGTGATTTCTTTGGCGTGGGAGTTGGAATTGATGATTTCTAGAGGTCCCTTCCAACCCCCACAATACTGTGATTTTGTGATCATAAAGGGACTGTAGTCTCCAACACATTATGTTATCAAGCAGCTAAGACAGACCCTTAAATTCTGCTCATTTTTCGTGTTGGAACCAAAGCGATATAATGACTAAATTTAAAACAGAAGAAAGAAATTTCAGCGTCTGCTCCTAAAGATAGAAGTCTAATTTCTTGGATTTGTCTTCTATGAAGTCTTGGTTTTGAAAACACCATTCGATGTCCCTGAAGTGACTGCACCAATATTCACACCCCTCTGCTAGAACAACCAGACAGCATTTGCCATCCTAAAAATGGAAAAAAAAAAGTCTGAGAAATGAAGCTGAAAGCCTGGTAAAGTGATATTTCATTTTGTGAAGCTACAAAGCTGCATTCAAGTGGGCTATTTGAAGAAGCATTTAAAGACATTCTTACTACACTGTTTGCTTTTCACAGATCAGGTTTCTGCTCAGAGGAATGCTGGAGATCTGTTATGTCAATAACATCCACAATTTCATAAAAGGGCTTTAGGGATACAATTATATCAATCAAGCCTCTGTAGGTTTTGTACTTGATGGACGAGATCTCAAAGTGAAGCAAAAGTCCTGGGTCTTCACTCTCAAATTCAGCAAAGAAGGAAGCCCAGCCATGGAAGGGTACCGCACTGTGAAATAGTGGAGGGAAGGAGAAAGTAACAACAGGAACTAATCAAGAATTCTGAACACTTACACATTAAAACTATTGTTACTATGTGTTTGTGAGGCATTTTGCAGAAGAAAATGAAGAGTCGGGTTTTCCAAAAAGTAAAGAAAAGTCATGGCAATTTGAGGGCCTCAAGCATCTAGCTCTTTCTACATGGAACAGTCAGGAGTTGCCAACTGAACTCAAAGCAACTCAACCTATATACAGATTGCAGAAGTTAGGGCTCAGAAGACAGGGGAGTTGTGTGTGGTGATGAAGCATGAATGAGTTCATAGATACATAGAACGATGATCACCAGACTGGTCAGACATAATTTACCCTTGGTGAAGTTAGGCTGGCTGTCACAGATCACCTTCTCATCTTGCCTTAATACAGCTTCCAGGAGGATCTGTTTCATGATCTTCCTAGCCTCAGATGTGACACTCACTGACCTGTTGTTTCCCAGATTTTCCTTTCTCTTTTTCTAAAAAATGAGAGTGATGCTTCCCTTTTTCCAGTCACCAGGGACTTCACCTAACACCCATGACTTTTTGAATATGATGAAGAGTGACTCAGGATTTTCCTAACAAGGTGAGATGTCAGAGAATGTGTTTGGTGGTGTTTATCATGCTGAAGAGGTCTATTTTGGTTTCGTGTATTCTGCTAGCCAGGAGAGTGAAATATATGGAAAAATCACGTGCAACTTGTGTCAGCTTTTTTGTAAACAAGGTCTCTCAGTACCAGCCATGAGCTGAATGCTAGCATGGGAGTTTTAGAGAAGAGGTGCACAGTCAACTCATTGTCTCACTAGAGAATAGGGATTAACTAGCTGTGGTTTTGGAATTACATGTCAAAAAATTCCCATATTTATATATGTCATTAAGTATTTTCTTTCCTTCTCCCTCTAATAGAATCTTTGTTCACATTTATATTAGGGATGAACTTACTATGTACCAGGTATTTTATGAGGGACGTATTCAGTTGGTTTATTAGTAATGTCTCTACATCTGCCCAATTATTGCTGATGCTGCCTGTCAAGTTCAAGCAGAAGGTGTTAAATAACTCCTGGTCCTGTACATATAAGGAGAGCAGTGAAACAGCAAAGTCATCCCTAATCAAACGCTGGCTAACATGGTAGCCTAACTGTACTACGGTGTGTATAGCTTAGCCCAAGTTCTTTCAGGTAAACTGTGTGTATGTAGGAAACAATTTCTTTTTTAAACCTGTGTTCACCCCCATGCTTATGCAGCTGTAGTGTCAATAATCAGCATCTAACTCTACCCAACTTTGACAGGCATGTTTACCAGGACTGCAAGGACATAGCAAGGACAAGCAAGTAAGACTGTCGTCTTACTACTTCAGCTCATACACAGCTATTTCTGCTCAGACCTAGACTTCATTACACAAAGGGATATGAAAATATTGAACTCACCAGCACTCATGTGAGTTACAGCTGTGACAGACTCCTTGCAGCTGTTTGACTATCACATACCACTGCCTCCACTGCCTCCTCTAAGAGTGTAAATGCAGACCACTGAAATAAACTGTTACAGCCTTTCCTTCACTGCATTTTGTTGAGGTAAGCTGTGTCACATATCACTGTCAACTCTTACTCTTCGTCCAAGGATTCATATATTTTTGTTAATGAGCTCACCACCCCATTAACTAGCTTTGCTGATGAGAACTTTCCCAGACCAAACATCACTTAGAACAATGAAAGAAATACTCTATACTTGACTGGAGAGATTATTGGTCAAACAAGACTTTACCTGCAGTTACTTCATATATATTTCATATACTTCATATATACTTCATATAAATACTTCAGCATTGTTCCCCAGCCACCTGGGCCAAACCAAGCATTTCGACCTTTACTCTCTTAATCAAATCATTATGATCTAATCTGCTTGGAAAAAGTTTTATAGGAAGCAGTCATAGACACATATCAGTGCTTTACAATTTATTTTCACAGCTCCAACAACTAAGTTTCTCTATGCTGAT